CCATCACTGCAAACAGAGCAATCCAACCTATCATCATGTAATTATTATGACAATGTCCACACTTGTTTGATCCCATTAGTAGACTGTATCCCTCTCTACATAATCCACACATTCTCTGTCCTCTATTATCCACACATTGAATATCAGTGTGATTCAACTGAAAGGTAACAGGATTAGGAGAACAATAGAGGAGACAGTCCTCATTGATAATGCATGCATTAGGATTGGTTGCATTAGCATTGAAAGGTGTACTGGTATCATATGTTCCAATCCACAGTAGACCATTGTGTGCAATGTTTAAGGTATTTATATCACATGTCACATTCTCCCTTGAAACACTGCAATCACAAACACCTGAACTGTTTACACTGAAACCAATAGGACACTCATTAAAGATGAAACTTGACCGAATTTTGTGATGATTTGTTGTGAATACTATTTCATGTCTTGTGTATGTGAGCTTGTATGGTGTGTATTCAATCAAGTAACAACTACCATTGATGTATACTTGCTCCACTGGTACTTCATCAATTTCTATTTTTATCACTTCATTTATAGGAATGAATGTACCATTATCTAAACTGTAATTGAATAGAAACAAAGCAACATTATATTTCAGTACTTGACCTGGAAATATTTGTTGCTCATATTCATCATGATTCAGTGTGCAGTTTAATGTTGTTACATTACTCTCAGTATCATTTGGTATTGTTCCATTGCTTTCAGGATCACAAAGAAAGGCCATAACTGGATGACTGGAGCTAATAGTAGGATTTGTCAAATTAAAGTAACTGAATGAGGCTATCAACCCATATATATCATTTCCAGCTACTCCAGCAGTGTTACCTTTTAATGTAAGAGGAATGGAGCTGGAGCCTTGTTTAAATTGAAATTTACTGCTCTTATCAATATAAATTCCTCCCCCTTTATAAGTTGCATGATTATCAATAAACTCCAAGTTAGCTGATGGTGATAGGGCCACAATAGATGAACCTTCCATTGCCATTCCTCCTCCAACTACTCCAGTATTATTCTTAAATACTAATCTATTTTCTACAGTTACTACAGAGGATATAATCACCAGTCCAGTTGATAGACTATTTGTAACAGTAATGTTATTAAGAATGATAGAAAGACATTCAAATATCCCATTATTCCAGTTTCCAACAAGTTCAGTATCTATAACACTGATATGAGCTAATGTTGATAATCCTCCAAATATGTATAAACCAAACTCATCATTGTTTCGTATTGAACATGACTTAACAGTAATAGCAATACGATTACTTAATTTATAATCTCCTTCAAATTGTGCATTATAAACCATAATATTGCTGTAATGGCAGCCTTCAATTAAAATAGTCGATTGTGATTCAACACTTTTAATACCACAATAAGATTGGGGGCTAGAATATCTAGCAAAAAAAAATGCACCTGAATTATATGATGAATTAGTAGTATACAGAGAAAAAAGAGATTCAGTGAAATAAAAACGAACATTATCATGTGATGAACTCATGATTTTGAAATTATCAATAATAACTGATATATTATATGAGGTATCATGAAACATATCAAGCCCTAAGGTGCCATTAGTCACTGTAACATTAGTCAGTGTTAATGAGTAATGGTGTAATTCATTGTAACACACTGGAGGTGGAGAATAGGAAATACCTAGCTCTAAATTATCAAAAACTGAAGATGTTATCTTACTATCAAAAACATTGAGGAGTTTGTGCTGGTATCTCAACAGGTTTTCAAAAATAGAACCAGCAATTGTGATATTACTTGAATATCTAAAATCTATGAGGCAATGGAATGATAAGTTACTGAAACTGACATGACTGCTGGTAGTGATTTTTATAAACGCATCATTTATGCAGTTAATAGTAGGAGACTGGTCCAGTCCATGTAGAGTTATATTCTGTACTGAGTTCATTGTGACATTAAAGCTAATGACACTAGTTCCAATGAAGTAGAAGATGGTGTTATTGTATTGAGACATATTCCCAGCATACACTGATAAAGGATTACAAGGTGACTGAGTAACTGAACTGCAGTCATCAGACACATAATACTGACCAGAGGAGACACTGCAGGAGCTACTGAAGAATAAGAGAACAACCACTAACAGGAGAGACATAGCTACTGTCTGTACTGACTGACTAGTGTATACTTGCAGGCTGTGAGTGATGACTTATATAGGCTACTTGTTCTCCAAATATGGAAATTTGATACATAGTTGTGATAATTGATGTGTACTAAGAACTGCTTGGCCAGCCATTCTTGCATGGTAAGCCATTATGTGTACAATCACAGACATAATAATATGACTCTACATTCAAAAAACAGTGATAACTTATTAGTCTATGATACTATGATGTACTATACTGTACTATGATGGGTATTTATGTATAGTGTGGTTTATAAGTGAGCAAATAAAACACTTGTTGTGATTCAGGCACTAAGTCACTATCAGTATATGCAGTATCTACTGTACAGTGCTTTATTCTGGTGGAGCTTTATTTTGGCAATTTTAATATAAAACTTTTATCAGCAGTTTTTGATACATGCGTTACTGAGCATGTGCATTAATAATTGGCAGTGTTAATATTGGTAACTTTGCTTGCAAATTGCCATGCAATTGCCAGTTCCGCCCATTTTAAAGATTATATGTTATTTTATAATACAGATACATATCACTAGTGTAATACCAATAGTGTTGTACTATTATTGTAAGTCTTTCATGTCCATGGCTTTAGATTTTAGTGATATATACAAGACATGGTTGTGCATGCAATTTTATATGCATCAAAATGTTTTCATAGTTTTATTTTACTTGTAGCACAAATCTGTGTTTATGACTTTATGTACATACTACCTATTACAGGATAAAAATTTGTTCATTTATGGACCAGTACTAGTGCTACATGTACAATACAACTTGCTATTATCTGTAGTAATCTCCCCACAAAATAGTATCAGCTGTAATTGTATTTCCACTAATTATTGGTGCTTTAATTACTACCAGTATAGTGACTTACTAAGAATTTCCTTTTGATGTACATAAACACAATTATAAATAGTTCCCTCCACATATTATAGCAGGGATATACACATGCAGCCACAAAGAGGGTCTACACCAGAATACACTCACTTTTATTCATACTGACATCATGTCTATACACTCTAGGTGTGTGCTTTGATCTACAGTATTCACCAACTACTAAACCAATTAGTCAATTCCTTGAAATGAGTGTGTTGATAGCAATCGTGGTTTACCTGTCAGCTAAAATCTACAATTTCTTAAAGTGAGTATTAAATGATGATAGAATTGTGTGGTAAAGATTGGCACATAGTTCGACTACAGAGACTTCTCCTTAAGCAAAAAGAGGTGACTCAAATCTTTTATACAATAGTACCATAGACTATAATGTAACAGCTAGGACACACACATATGCACTGTACAGTGTACATTAATAAAATATATTAAATGCCTCATGTACAGCCACAGTACACATACACTAGATATGTATACTCACATCACCAATCCAATAATAATAATAAGTAATTTTCCTTTCTGTTCGAAGGAATCAGAAAAGCTTGTGTACTATGCAAAAGTTGGCGAAATCAAAAAATTAAAATAAAGATCAAGCAATAATGAATACCAAGAAGTAACAGCAATAATAATAACAATAATAACAACAGCAAATGGTGCTAATGATAATAAGTTATAATAAGGTAGTTAGTGCTGTGTGTATCAGATAGAACATACACACATTACACTGTAAATAAACTCTATATCTATGTACACAGCACACATACATGTACAGTGTGCACACTTTTATGAATGCTGACATCATGTAATCTACATGTATATACTATAACTTCATTTTTAATGTTAAATTTGTTCAACAAAATAATAGGACTATTTTGCTTTTAAATTACTAAATCCAGGGTTTTCCACAGGATTTGGCATAATGTTTATGCAGTTCTTGTCAGTAAGTCTCTAAATTTGCTTAATGCCATAATACTATACTGGGCGTCTATACATGTACATACATGTAGATATATTGAGCTAGTCTGGTTGAGCCTTTTCGGTGAAGGGGCAGGCCCAGACTAGTAGACAATAGCTAGAACTATTATATTATAAATGTATTATATACAGTACATATTAGATCTATAGATCTACTGTCTGTACGGACTGACTATAGTGTATATTTGCAGGCTGTGAGTGATGATTAACATGTATATAGGCTACATATTCAAAATCTGATGCATAGTTGTGATGATTGATTAATACAATACAACTAGAAAGTCATTCTTTTAATAGTTGATGGTATTCATGTCACTTTACTTAATCTCAAATTATGATCTATTTTTCCTTGAAGAGAAAAATGAGTTAATTATCATGATGTCCTCTTTATACTCTCCTCAACAATTTGTTTCTTCAATTTCTTGTGTGGTCATCAATGCAAGGGAATCAATGCAAGCAGAACAAGCAACTTTATACCATATAAGGCCTGTCTCTCAATTAGAAGCCTGAGGGCCATAGCCTATATTTATTAAGGAAATATAATGCATAGGAGAACCACCCTCAAATAGAAGTACTGTTCTAGTTACAGATATATGGTGATACTATAATTTTTTATCATAACATCACTACAATTACTACAATAATGCTATTACAACTGTCACAAGTAACATTTACCTCAACATTATGTGAAGACATAGTGCAATTGCTTTCTTTTGCTTTTTATTAAAAGCGATCACAACACATATCGTTATTATGATCAATATCAATAGTACAGTACCACTGACTGTACCAGCCACAATGTTATCATTAATGCTTCCATCTATTCTCAAAAATATACAACACTTTAGTGTGGGTATGTGTTATACTTGTTGATGGAGTTTCAGTTCCAATTGTAGCAGTAGTTGATGTAGTAGTAGCAACTAATGAGAAGGAATAATAGGTAAAGTTAGAATAATTATACAAAGTATTCATTATTTTCTACTATAAAATATGTACACAGTTTTAATCCAATTAGATTGCATCTTAAAAGTTAGAAAATATAAATATTATACACCTTTTTGACAATTTTTGCATTTATAACTTGAAAGCTTTTCAAAATTAAACAACTGGGATTCTAAGTCTCAATTAAAATGATGCTGAGGTGCTCTATTGATTTGTTTAGAAGATAGTAAAAAATAAAGACACAAATTGCCCATAAAATTCGTTGAACTTTCAATAGCAATATTATGATTCATGTTAAAAAGTTAACTTGGCAAATTCTTTCCTTGGCTTGACATTTGTTTAAACATTTGTTGTTTTTATAATACATGTAACTCTAGTAGTATGTGGTAGGAGCTAATATAATGGCAATATTATTAGTAATATTCTAGTAATTACATACACAATGATACATAATCTTTTTACTTACTAAATGTTGGTATGAATGGTTCACTACTACCAACACTATTATTAAACACAATAGTGATGGTACACTGTTGATTTAGTGGTACTAGTACTGATACTGTTATATTGATTGGTTGTTTAGCTTTCTCCACTAGATATATATGATGCACAAAACCAGTTCCATTACACTTTATAGTAATTATAACATTCTCAGGAGACTCTCCAGTACACTCCAATGTAACCTATTAAATAAATATTATAATTATTATTCATAAAATAATAATTATTATTACTGGTATATTAAAAGAAGCATTAGCACTAGTCTCATTAAATGCTATTATATCTAAACCAGCTTCTGTAACTGTTCTTGGTACTAAATAAACATGATTTATTCAGTAATCATTGTTCATTAATGTACCTCTTTGATATGAGAATGTATCATTATTATATATTCTTTCTCCTAATGCATTAACTCCAGTTATAACAAATGTATAACGATGTCGAAATAGATCCTCATCAGAAAACTGATATTTTGTATCATATACTGATACACTCCTCAAGAACTGATCAGTTATGTCGTCATATATACTGAGATTATAATACAGTATAGGTACTCTATCATCAACTGTAGGAGCAGTCCATGTTATATCAATAGTAGAACAGTTGTCAATTGAAGAGTCAATGTTAGTGACTGGGCCAACTATACCTATTAACAATTGAAAAACTAAAAAGGATATACAATGTAACAGTTTTTTACCATTAAATCCAACAGAAGAAGTAGGTAGGAATTCGCCTCCATTATTACTCAATGATACATTAACAATAAATGTATTTAAATTATTAGGTACAGTTATTACTCCAGTTATCATCAGCTGATCATTAACTTGTGTTGATATACTGTTATTATCTTGTATTTCATTATCAATATTCAGTATGATAACAGTTATGCTATTAGGATATTCCCCATTGCATAGCCCACTGACCTATAATGGTAGAAGGAAAGAGATTATTGTTAACTTTACAATACATGATATAGAAATTGCAACTGCACTGAAACGCACTGATTGAAACACAAGCAGTAACATGAACAACAGTCCAATAAAGCATACTAGACTAGCCAAGACAAAGCAACCAAAACTAACTTACATTAATACTGATATTCAATGATATTAGTCGTCCATCAATTACTGGTACCACTGATACAGGAGGAGTAATGAGAGGAACTGAAAGGTACACTGTGAACATATACATGAAGCCATAGTAGGACTAACCTGTTTCATAATAAAAACTGATATTATTAGATGATCCTATTCCAACATCATTAATAGGAGAAACTGATACATTATTTAATATACAAGGATCAGGATTAGTAGCTGATAATATAATACTCTTGTTAGTAGTAGTAATGTTCACTAATCCATTGACTATATAGTATCCAGTGATAGGTACATTATCCAGAGTATAAGGAGCTGTCCATGTTAATAATACACTGGACCCATTAATAAAGGTATAATCCAGATCACCAACACTATCCAATAGACCTAAAGAAGGGACTAATGATATATACAATTAAACTGATACTTTACTATACCTTGTATTGTTAGTGTAACATTGTCACTTCTAATGTCACCAGGATAAGCAACACAGTACACATAAGTATTATTATTAACTTCTCTTGCATGAACTGATAGCTGTCTTCTTCTTATAGTTCCATTAATAGTTACTTGATTTAACTCACTAAACCCTCTGTTAAAAGTGGTATTTTCAGATGCTGGTATTTCCCAAACAATAAAGAATATCAAAGAGACCCTAATTGCTTCACAAGTAAAGGTGACAGTTGAATTGAGACTTGTATTCACTGATACTGGTTGAGTGACATATTCTGTGAATATGAAGAATTAGGGTAAAAGATCGTCATGCAATTAGAGTGAGAGTTCAAATTTTAAAGAGAAAATGTAAATTAATAAACGCAAGCAGTTTGTTGAGTTGTTGGAAAAAGGGATAGGAATGATTGAAAGTTGGGGAACTGGACAGAATAGAATTACTAGACATGCACCTGTCATAGGTGCTATCAACAGCTACTAGTGAAGCCTTACTAGTGACTAAACAGCCGGATCTATTATCTATGCTTTACTCTGTATTGAAGTTTCAGACTACCATGACAGACGGCATACATGTACTAGATCTGTGGTACACCTACAAATTGGTTTACCCTAGAAGTTTTCCAGTAAGGTGCTCACTATGATCCGAGACATAAAAAATGTTATTGTAGCTGGCAAGGCTTTATACCAAAGGAAGGTATTTATATAAAAGATTATAACATACCTGCCTCAGTACAAAACGAAGAAAGAAGTACCAAATATAGTGAAAAATACAAAAAGGACTGCAGTAGCATGATCTCTATCGGATTGTCTGATACAAAAATCAAAATACACTCCACGAGTCCGCCGCGTCTTATTATTATTATTTATTTGGTTTCCATAGCGACTAGCGAGCAACGTAGCGCAATGAGTTTTGATGTACAAGAACAAATAAAATCTGAGACTATGTTTCTCCTTTTTTGCCAATCTTAGAAAAACTCATTGCACTATGTTGCTGGCTATATTTGTAGAAAAGTGTGTGATAGGCTAATAGGCTTGATAAGAGAAACTCTCCAAGTCCAATTATAGTCTAGTGCCCCGCCCCTTTGAAGGGGCATAATTATCATGGGTGATGGACAAAATTAATTGAGACTGGATTATGGCATAAGCAAGAGCAGGAAATATGCAAAAGGAAAATAAATAAATTATAAAAGGAGAAATTTTCTCCTTTTAATTTTTGATGAACTTTGGTAATATTTGAGCAATTTAAAAATTCATAAGAATTCCCTCAAATTTCAGTCTAAAGTTCCATATACTTTTGATTAATCATTAAAACTTCACTTTACTTAACTTGTGATTAATTACTATTAAGTTAACTTTGTGATTCCCTACTTCCTTATTGTTCTTTCTTTTATTTTTTTATAAAATATAAAAATGTGATGACTACTGACCTCAGTGTAGCAAGGTTCTTATTTCTACAATACTATTTTGCAACCAGTTATAGGGGTATATACAACAAAAACTTTTCATTTCAGGTATTTTGTCTTATGTACTGCTCAAATCATAGAAAGAGATGTACATATTCATGTACCTGCACTGCACTTGTGCACATGTGTATGTTCAGTGTATATATGTACATTGATTCTTGTATAATAACAAATTAAACTCACAAAATAACTGACCAACAAATACATATTATTGACATGGTTTGAAACAAAAAAATATCAAGCGATAAAAATAGCAATAGATACCAATAATTATTCATAGCACATAGGATTATTAACTAGATCTAAACATCATAATAGCAATGAAAAGCACATTAATAGTCACTGAATTTAAAAATAAATTTTTAAGTAGCTAATAATAATAATAATAATAAAAGTGGCAGCTAAAATTGCCAAAGATCATGATTAAAAGTTAAACAAATCAACTACTGATTCACGACTATCACTGAGTCTAACATCAGTAGAGGTTGGTACAATTTCTCTCATTTGTTGATCAACAGTTTTATTTGATTCAGTAACATCTTGATTATCATCATCTTCATCTTGTTTCTTGAATAACTTCTTAGTTAGAGCATCATAACATTTCATAGGTGATAACTGCAGGTAAAGATGATAAACAACAATCAAAATAAAACTAAAAATAAAAACAGATAAACAAGTATTATACCAGATCAATACTTTACTGTCATCAGTAAAGGCTATAGATAAAGAAACCATAATGCACAAGTTCAAAAGAAACCAAAATTCAATGATATTGTTTAATTTCTTTCTGTACACACCACATAAAATAAAACTAATGGAAAGGATAATAGCTGCTACTGCCAATAACAAGACATGTGATTCATTCTGCAAAAAGGTGACAATTAAAAGTAATGGTATCCTAGTCACTAGCAGTAGACCAGGCCAGAACCGGTACTCATCTTTCATTGGACCACTATAAGCATCAATAATAGGCTTGAAGCGACTCCAGCTTTTAAACATTTTAAAATGTGACAGATGCTTCTCAAATACTGGATGACATAAAAGGAACAGTGTGTATGGTATGATAAAGAAAACAGACACCAATAGGGCAAATCCAAATAGTCCAGCATGCTTCCCTTTAGCATATTCAACATTGGGATCCTCATACCATAAACTAACTGATCTTACTGACTCATTTGTACAGTGAAGAGTTACCTCACGCTTGTGTAGTACAATAACAATAGTACGTACTAGTTTAGTATATGAGAGAAA